GATTTTATTAATTATTAATTTTCTGTACTCATAGGCAATAATTTATTAATTTTTTCACTTTTATTATAAATATACGTTGTGAACAATATGTTATTAACAATATTGATTTGTTATTATCAATAGGTGTAATAATTTATAAACTTTTTGTAAAATTAAAAGCACATTTTAACATTTATTCATTATAAGATCATGTAATAACCAGTAATTTATTAATTTTTTCACTTTTATAATACATTTACGCTATGAACAATTTGTTACTAACAATATTAATTTGTTATTAACAATCAGTGTAATAATTTACAAATTTTTTTTCCAATTTCAGATACTTTTTAACATAAGTATGTCATAAGTTCAAGTCATAGTCAATAATTTATTAATTTTTTCACTTTTATTGTAAATTTAGGTTATGAACAATTTTTTATTAGTAATAAATTTAATAATTTATACATATTTCATAAAATAAAACTGCATTCGCACCTCCATAGCATAAAATTCTATGATACGTATATGTATGTCAAAATATTTTCATTTCCTCTATGTTTTTTGGATGAAATGAAGTATTACACGAAAAGTAAGAACTTTGGAAGATTCATTTTCGTCGTAAAAGTACGTGGGAGTTTATTTTTTAACTACTTTACATTAAAAAGTCGTTGGTATTTGTGCATTGAATAACGAAACTGTTTCAAACTACAAATGATTCAGAGAAATTTCTTATAATTTTACGATTAATGTAAAAGAATACATGAAAACATGCGATGTATGTAAGAAATGCAATCTACTGGACAATGATTTCGGTGGCGGTTACGCATGATCACGGCCCTGACTAAGCCAGATGTAGTTACCAACAATGGCTGCCTGGCAGCAAAATTCCTCTTATAGGTTACCATAATGTATATATTTTACCGTCCTGTCAACATTGAACATCATCCTAATATTCTTTCTGGATGGTTTCTCTTTCAGAAATATCTATAGAATACGCTACTGTGTAGCAAATTCGTGTCAGATAAATATCTTTTTCTAAAAATGCAAGAATGCGCGTAGAAAGTATGTTCGGAGGTTCATTTTTAAACTTCGATTACCAAATATAGTTATTCATAAGCACAGATAATCATAATTATGGACATTGATAAACTCGAGGTACTCTCACCTAACCTATAAGACATCAACGAACCTTCTATTTTTACGGATTTGTGTTCAAGAAAATAAACTCTACGAGAATCATCTACTGGGTTTTGCAAATTAGAGAAAACATTAAAATTTGTTGGACAGTGTTATTAGAATTAGGTGGAATATTTCTATAATATACATAAATCTGTTTAAGTCCGATCAAATCATGATCGTGGTTCAATATCTTTGGTTATACGACATTTGGTATTAATTATATTTTTGTATTATTTAGTATTGGAATTACGTTGATTATTTACATTCACATCAGGCTAGTTGTGCAGTCATAAAACGTTCGTTAAACATCGATATTCTTGTCATTACGCGATACTTAATACTAATATTTTCATGTCGTCTGCTATTAAGGTCACATCAATTATATTCACTATTCACGTCAGCTAATTTTACTCTATTTCCATTGAATTATCTCATTTATATTCTTCCTTACTGTAATTCTTTCAAATACTTTAGTTATTGTACTTTTATACCCTTTATTACAATATCTTTATTTTTTGTCATGATATTTTTATTTATTTATTTATTTTCTTTTTGTAATATTAATATTATTTCTTTATTACAATATTTTTTTTTTTTTTCACTATGATATGTTGAAATGAACCTTTAATTATATTACCATAATTATTCATATTATTCCTATACCATATGCACTGTACTATATATGCATATCTTTTGTTTCTTAATATTTTACAAAAACAACTGAGAAATTTAAGTTTTACCTGGCACATAGGCATCTAGGAAACGAGTAGATTTGTAATTACAGAAGCCTCGAACATGATCGACTTCACGGTCATAAATGCCAAACGCTATCTGCTTGATAGACATTAAGATCTCGTGAATGAATTATCGACGCGTTGGCTACCAGTGGCCATCTTTTTCTTCAGTTTCACTGAAGATACGAATGATAATTACCAGCTGAGAATACTTGATATTTTAAATAACATAATGTGCCTGAAGATTGTATTAGGGTACTTTATCCTTCAATTTATAGAATTGATAAAAATGCTGTGTACATCTTGTTGATGTTGTTAATTGTGTAATTATTTCTCTGCAATTAAGTGACTTCAATTGTATCATTATCTAATGATTTGCTAGACGGATGCACATTTTCTTTTTTGTCCTAATTTACTTGGAATCTCTAAACACTGAATAGTTCAGTGACTTTAATTTGAATATAATACCACAGTGATATGCTTCTTTAAAAATTACTTCCTGCTTTCATTCTGAGATTTTCATCTTTCACTTGAAACCATAAAAAATTAAATGAAACAGGACCTAGTAGAATTAATATCCTATTTTACATACAGATGTGTACATTTTAAAAATGTACGTACAAGTTTGACAGAATTTTGTATGTAACTTACAGTTAGAAATACATCAGATTGTATAGTAAGTCATTACGTGTATCCTACTTATGGAGTTTGGCTTACCAGTAGTAAGGAAGATCTGAGAAACATAAATAATTTAAAAAATATAAGATTTATATTGTATTTTATCTTGTACTATTATTACTATTAAACATCAAATAGTCATTATAAAGAAAATATCCTTATTCAAGCAGTTATGACCACACATTGACTCAGATCCTGGAAGATCTACTATATTTTAACATAATACTATACTATTACATTACATTTTCCTATTTCTGTACACATTAAATGTATAAGCTTTCACAATGTAATCATAACCTCATAACAGTTCGTTTCATCCTACATGTACCTACCGAAAGTGAAATAGGTTAAGTGTTTTCTCTTCCAAATCTTCATAAACATTTATCTCACGCCTAACCTATCGTTACGCAAACCAGAACACTGTAGCACATTAATCAAAATGATACATCGTGTTTCTCACACATACTTGGAACATGGATCGTGTACAAAATGACATCATGCCACTAAAAAGAGTGATGCCAATTTCGACAGGAGTCGATCGTTCGTTAGATACACGAAGGATTAATGACAGCGGCGATTCGGCAAGTTCGTTTTCAATATGACCAGTCTGTCAGTAAGAAAGAGCACACTCATACCGACAGAGAAAGTACAGCTCTTCACGATATCCGGCTATCGATCTACTTCAGAACCGATCGATTGTTATACACCAACCCTAATACCTGGCTCTGGCGTACCTACGTGACCATAGATAAAGATCTACTTTCGCCATCTATGGTAACGGGATAAAATTCATTGTGATAGCGGACGTAACGTTGAATGGAAGGTAAATTGCTGTCTTGGATGCGAGAAGGGCCTCGGTAACGAAAATATAGTTTAAGGAAAGTGATTGTAAATACCTTCTTTTATATAGAACAAAGATGTTTTAAAATAATATATAGTTACATAACATATATATAATATTTACTTTATTTAAGTTCATTTTTATAATAGAAATTATGCAATAGGTTATGTCAAAGTAGTTCTAGTACCAATTAAACATTTCACATGATATGTATAAATGTAATTACTATTCTTTTTTACATATTTAATTTCATTAAGATTGGCAGAATTGTGACAAATTTGGTGAATTTATATGGATAAGGTTAGGATAGTTCCAAGGATATTGGAAAATGCCATTAAAAATGGGGAGTGACTTATAGAATTCAAATTTTTTTAAATTATAGTTCTGATGAGTATTATAAATATTAAATGCTTTACCACTTTATCCATTTTTTCATTTATTACATAATTCTTACTACTACAATGATGCTGTGAAAAAAGATAAATTACCATTTCCATGAAACTTTACTACGTATAAATAATATTAGACTTCATAACGTTGAAAACACTTTAAAAATTTAGTTTCTATATGGAAGTCCTTTCAACGCCACAAGACACTAGAATTTTATCAAAAAAACATTTTTCGTTAATAATAATAGTCACCACCACAAATCACATCTCCACCGTGACCAAAAATCGCGCAGACCACTAACATCTCACTCGGTAAACCAATCTATCCACGAGGAACATAAAAATCCCCTTACATTCGCTTCTCCATCACCGCGGATGATCTATAGCACGAGCGATTCCATGCCTCGATTTCGCAACGCGGAGCAACCGTTCCGTCCTCGGACATCCGGGTGGCGAGCGGCGCGAGTCGCAAACGGCCCTCGATCAATTGTTATACACCGTGTGGCTGGCATTTAAGCCGCGCGACTCGCGTCTCTGCACTGTTGCCGCATTAATTTGGTACAGTGCGTTGCGGTAGGATAGCTCGCGGAAAAGAAGTTGCGCAACCTGGTCGCTTATATACCTTCATACCACGAGCGCTGCGCCTATATACACGGTGTCCGTGCGCGAAGTCTCACTGGCTTTACGTTCTCCCCTTCTCTCTGCTCCATCGTACCTGTCTATCTCTCCGCCTCCCTATCCTTCTCCCACCACTGGCCTACCACATCGGTCTCTCCTTCTTCCAGCGCCCCGATCGTTTATCTCCGTCGAGCCGCGCTCTCCGTCTCTATCCCTCTGTCTCCAGCGGTATAGCTACGTGCCGGCTGATCTGGTGTACCGGCCAGCCTGGCTACGGTGGATTTATACACGGCCACGGTGCGTTCCCACGCCTAGAACATGCGAGAGAGCCCTGCTCTTCGGCCTAATGCCCGCGTGGTACCGATCCTATTCCGCTGGCCCGTCGCCTAAGAAAACGCTGGAAAATCTGGGACACGGCGGCGCGGTATGCACCATTGTCCCGCGGTACTACGGGCCTGAGTCTCGAGTGTGTGCGCGCGCAGCGAATCTCGGCAGCCCTGCTTGTCGCCCTCAGGCGCTTTTTGCAACCTTGCTGCGCCCGGCTCGTTGGCCACGGTTTCGTTTTCCTTTACGTCTGACGGTTCCCGTTGGCGTTTGTGGTTCGGTGATAGTGTCTCTGGATGGAGATGTTACTTCTAGGCAGGTTAGAAGACTAGTTTAATTCCTTTTGTGAGCACAGTTCTGCGTGTAAGATGCGTACAATTCATCGTTAATTCGTTGATTATTTGTTGATACTAGGGATCGTGGTTTGTCGTGTTAGGTTATGAATATCTACGTATTTACGGAACGTAAGAATGTTGGGAATAAAATGTGCGAATACGAGAATATAAGGCAGTATAACGTGCAGGATCAGAATTGTTTATCGAGCGACACGCTAGATGGCACTGCCTTTACTCTGTGCTAGAAAGTGTCGCCACATGCTTACGGCCATGATCCTCTGTTGATGGCACACTGGTAATTTTTGTAACTGAATAGCAATTTATTATATGATTGTAATTTTGATTCTTTATTGAAAAAGAAATTCTAATTTATTACAGATTCTCACTACGATTTAAAAATTAGTATTTGGAGATAATGAGGTACCGGGAATGCCGTACAATAGCACAGTGAAAAATAAATAAAATTACATTTTTTGGATAATTGAAAACCTGTTAATATTGGAAGTTAATTCCAAGTCTCGCGGCGTTATAGAGGATAATGAAAGCCAGGAGGAAAATTACAAAGCATCCTCCGTATACAACGCAGGGAATACGAGCGTGTATATATAGTCCTAGAGTCTCAGAGTCTTAGACTATGACGAGGTTTCTGCTGTACTATTATATACTCCTGACAAGTACACCTGGAGAAAATAAATTACAACTTTGCTACATATGAACAGATTACAACTTTCTGCAGTCTATAGAATTGATTGAAAGGAATGAAATAATAACTCCCAAGTCGTGTTGAAGTACTAGAAGATAGTAGCAGTATAGCATGAAGAATTCAACGGTGTAAGCTTTTATCTTGTTAGTTAATAATTGGGAGAGAGTGAAAAATTATGTCATTAGAAGATTTTATAAGTTAAGCTTTGAGGCTGTATGGGTACCCAGAATATAAATAATGATGATAGTGATGACAGGCAAGGACTTTGATGGCATCATCGCCATCTTCAGACAATTTGCCAGTATTCGTTTTCTCGATAGAGAAACATCCAACGACATAAATCGTTCTTACAAAGCTTACTGCTTCGACAAAATTGGAAATCAATTCTTTTAGGAATGTTCGATTCAGGCCTCATTTCCATATATAATAGATTAAATAATAGTCACTTTATTCGTGTTTAATCCCAGACATAATAATGTCAACATGTGTCATAGAATAATTAATTTTATATGGGATAATTATAATAAAATAATAAATAATAAGATAATTAATTAGCTAATTTAGGATAATAACCAATCAAAAATTAGTTATCAACGAGATCTACTTATTTTGTATTTTGAAAATGCATAAACCTTAAGATTCGTCTTTGCATGAGTTCCAAATACCAAAATCAAATTTAAGATACGCCAGATTCTGCAGATAAAAAAAGTAGATAATACTTAATTTACATATCAACAAGTTAAATACTGTAAACATGGATGCTGAATCATCGTGTAGCTTAACATGGACATACATGTTGTCAGCAAGTGGAAAATTTATTAGCATATCTTTCCAATGAGTAATTCTTGCCATTCTTACAATTTATCATATATTTTTCACGATCTAGACCCAAGTTTTCCTTATAAATAAAAATAGTATATTCAAATATCAAAAATTGATGAATTGCTCTATAATGAGTGCAATTGAACAAACCTAATAATTCATAGCTTTAAGTAAATTTTTGTTGAAATAAATTTTATATTCTCACGAAATAAATTAAGATAAAGCAAAGTTGTTTATCAAGCTTCTAATTGTATTTTCCAGGTCGTTCCCCGATCTCAAGGATGCGGTGGGTGAGGAGACACACCAGCCACCACCACTGAAATCCACCCCTTCACCGCCTCGAAACGAATACTGCCAGCCGTACAAGGCAACCAGTAACCTGACCGTAATCTACAAGCAACCACGAAGACGAAGTACCGAATCTACCCCATGGATCTAACGGAGGCATTCGCCCCAGGAGGGGGTGGGGAGGAGCTGCCAAAGACCGACTTCTTCGACTTCGTTGTCTCTCCACCTCCGCACTGCGCCTCCGCAGACGGCGTCTCCGACGAGGAGAGCTTCCTCCATCGCACCACCTGCAGAAGCATCGGCTACCTTCAGCAAGGTCACGAGGAGCACGAGACGAATCGCGAACTTCATGGCTCGCCGTTCATCAAAGAGACCAACAACAACACTCTGACGGCTTTGCCTCCAGTCTCGACTATTACTGGCTCCCTCAGCCATCATCATCACCATCACCACGTGAGGACGCACCACAGCCCCTGCAACGTACAGCAGAGCAACGAACAGACGCCAATGGACCAGTCGGATTGCGATTATTGGGGCACCGACGAGAGCAAAGAGCAGACCTGTAACATACTCCTGGAAGATCTGAACAAGTACTGCTGGTCGGCCCATGCCAACGCACAGAGCCACGGGAACGATAACGTGAGCGTTCACCAAGGTTCCAACGAACACCATCAAGGAGTGGGTCGGGGATGTTCCGCTAATGATAGACAGAATACCGACGGGGCTATATACACGTTGACCGTGTTGAACAACGAAGCCAACTCTATGGACGCGTTGGACTGCTGCAAGAGTCCAGCCCCGACGTCCAGCGACTCTTGGTCCCTGAGACCTAACTTAGACCTAGACGCTATACTGAGCATGGAGCCAGCCTCCACCGAACAGGAACACGACCAAACCACCAACGTGACCGAGGTGTCGCGGACGGTGAACGACAGGTTTCACCCGGATCGTTTCTCCGTTGCGTCCTCTCAGTATGCCACTGACGATAGTGGATTCGTCGAGAGCAAGGAATTATGCGGTCGGGGATCCTCCAGCGGCGGCAACTGTACTGGAGGCGACAATAACAACGATTGGAAACTGTCTGACCAAAATCTGCAAGAGGCTGCAGCTGCAGCCGCGGCTGCGGTCGCGGTTGGAGCCGGTGACTCGGCGGAGAGTCTTCTGAGAAGCGCCCTGCAAGGCAAACTGTACACCGGCCCAGCTCAAGTAGTGTCCTCCTCGTCGCCGTCTACCCAAGGCACCACCATGCCGATGCCTGTCGCGAGCAACCCTGCTTTGCAAATAGTCTCAGATCAGCAGCAGCAGCAGCAACAGCAGCAGCAGCAACAACAGCAGCAACAGCAGCAGCAACAACAGGACGAATCTATGCACACTTGCACCGACGAAGACCTACTGCTGTCCCAATTGGACCAAACGACTTACCGTCCCGGTGACTACGAGAAGCTCAAGAGCATAGCCAATGAAGTGGTAGAGTCCTACTGCAGCTTGGAGCCTGTTTGCAACGTATCAGCAACGACCACGGTTATGTACACACTGGACCCGACTAGTGGCAGCCTGGGGACGATCACTCTGCCCGCAGATTTGGGCCAAGTGAGTACAGTGACAGTGGTGACAGCAGCCCAGCAGGATGTCCTGCAACAACAGGCAGCTCCTAGGACCGAGGTGGAGCAACAACAGTCCACCAACCAACTCCAAATCGCTCCCTCGAGGGTCGTCACCACCAAGGCACCCAAGAAGTACTGTCGACGCACCAACAGGAACAGCAGCAACGCGAACGCGGCTAGCAATGGTAGCAGTGGCTCAGAAACAGGGAGCAACGCTGGTGGTCAGCAACAGGGTGCGTCTGGTGGCTCCCCAGGCAGCGTGCCGCGCAAGGAACGCTCGCTGCACTATTGCAGCATCTGTAGCAAAGGCTTCAAGGACAAATACAGCGTAAACGTGCACATCAGAACGCACACGGGTGAGAAACCTTTCGCTTGCTCCCTGTGCGGCAAAAGTTTCCGGCAGAAGGCGCACCTGGCGAAGCACTACCAGACACACGTGACGCAGAAACCGAGCGTACAGCAACAAGCAACCGGCAGTAGCGCCAGTAACAATGGGAATAGCGGGAATCCAAGCCCATCCGCTGAGACCAGCGGCACGACGACGAGCAGCGTGACGAACAGGAGTCAACCTCACCAGGTGTCTGTGGACCCCGCGGGGAACGCCTGTAATCCACCTAGTTAGTCGCGCTGGATGGACCCAACAGCCCACATCCGGTTCACAACGTCCAGTTCGACGCGTTCAAATCGTTGCTACTCCATTCTGAATTCCCGATGGCACGGTGCGGAAAGCAGATCGCAGATTTTGCACGATGGTGATGGCCAACGGAGGATGCACCGTGCGAGTCTTCCTTTTATTCTCTCTTTATATATGTCTCTTCTCGTTCTTTCTTCTCTCTTCTTCTCTCTCACCACGCTCTTTCTCTATTCCCTCCAATGCTATCCGTCCAACGATTAGGATCTTCGAAGAGAGCCGAGTAGAATGATTTACGACCGACCAGGTCGGCGATGCCCGGCACAGAGCGGACCATGACTAACGGCACGGATCGCGGGCTCGACGTTCGTTCATGGACTAATTTTCGACAGCCGTCCCGCGATCTCGTCGTACAGCGAAGTAACCAGGCGGACCGTTTTCTCGCCGACCGGATATTTATTCGAGTTGCACGTTACATGGGTTGCACGCGGCGGTGCTCATGAGTTATGCGAGAAAGCGCGAGCTGGTAGCCGCGGTTAGTCGCGGAGATCCCGTAAAGGAACGGACGGGTTTAACGAGCCACGCCGCGGAACACTCCCTCGAACGCTTTCTTTTTCCAGCCGTCCACCATCGTACCCTTTTGTCTAGCGCGTAACAGCGTTTTATTAATCGCAGAAAGCCGTCCGTAAAATCGCGAGGCACGCGAGCGTTAATAGTGTATCGTGAATTTATCCACGGCAGTGCGAAGCCCGTCGCGACCTCTGTGGCCGTTGTTCCTATCGCCAGTCTAAGTTTCCGGTATCCCTTCGAGATTGCCCGCGTCGGTTTCCGACGGTTAGTATCTACTATCTACCGGTGGATGGTGCGCGTGATTACATTGGAAACTTACATTGGTGATGCTCGCGACAGAGTGGGACCGATACTAGCGCGCCCTGGTGACCATTCCGTTGGTAAGTTCACGATGATAGTAGGTTAAGCAGGCGAGCAGAGATCGCCATTTATTTTTTTATTCTCGTGATTAATTATTCCTCGTTCGACGTCAATTGGCCGAGGTCGTTTACCGGGAGGGACGGACGACGCGGCGGAGAGGGACAGATGGCGCGCGCCGCGCGAGTGCGCAGCGTGGTGGGGGCGCACCGGCTGAGCGGCCTTGAGCGGTCAATTGATTTCGGGCGAGCTATAGATCGTCGATCGACAGTGGCCAGAGCACGTTATGGACGAAACGACTCGGTGAAATTGTTGTTCCTAAGACGACTTACGTACTTGTTTCGATAGAGACGACCACGTCGACGATGATCGCGCACGATCGAACGATATTTAATACCGCTACGAGATATTAACGTTGAAGATATTTTACACGGGAAGATTCTTCTTTCTCGTTTTATCTTTCCTTTCTCTACTTCTATCTCTACTTTCTCCTCATACAATTTCCGACTTCTTTTATTTTTATATATGTATACACACAGAGACACACAGTAGACTAGCGGATGTAACGTAGAATCGGTAAGTATCAGAGTATCGAGAGAGAGATATATAACGTTTAGAAGTAATTAGTAGCACGAGCTGTGATTTAGATACATACTCAACGCGCGAGGCCACGCTCCTCTCTGGTTAGCAGAGATCGCGTGTCCCGCCGTCTGTTATTCGTAAGAGAGTGAAAGCGAAACGTTCGACGCACGATTTTGCCAAGAATTTAACCTTCGAACGCTCTTAGAGCCTGCTCGTTTCACACGAACCTCCATCGGATCCCACGGAAACTTCCCTTTCAGCTAGACCCCACTAGCCTCCGTCGCGAATTTTCCACGATACCCTGTCGATTTCCTCGCGAGAGGCAGAGCCGCGCTCTTTTCTTCCACTCTTCTTCTAACCGGCTCTCGATTTCTTCCATTTCACCCTCATTCCTTCGATTCTCTCGCCGTCTACTCCGTCATAAATTAAACCTGTTCGTTGTTCCACGTGATTCATTATTCGCTCGTGAGAGAATAGGCTGATCAGATTCCGCACAAAATCGATCCACTAAGATTCTTTATATTCTTGTACTCTCTTCTCTGAAATTCGATCTTAATGGACCTTCAAATTTTCAAAAATTAGCCTAGGTCACACTTATGTACTATATTTATCATCACATTGAGGCTACGTTATTTTATTTCCATATTTTGAAAATTCTCTGACAAATATCGTGACTGCTATCAGACAATCTCTTTAAAACACAAATTAATTTAATTTCCATATACATATATACAAATCACCGAGTAACCCTTTCACTGCCACGTCAAAATCACGTGTTTCCCTCAGGACGCCACGACAGTGCACCGCTAGATGCAAGAGTGGTTCTAATATGATTTTGCTGTTCTAATAAAAATTTTTAATTGTTCTGTGAGGTACTTCTTATTCCAAAATATCTTCTAATTGGCTTCTAATATTCGAAATGCACTAACTGTCAATTTTCAAGCGCTCCGATCACCCATGCCCACCGTGGCGTCACGAGAGAAACCGTGATCGGTCATATATGACCAACGTGGCAGTCAAAGTGTTAATACATGATTAAAACTGAGCATCCAAAGGTACCATTCAGACAACCGAAGAGAAGATTAGTGATACAAGGTCTTGCTGAAATGGAGGATTGATTTCGAACGAACTGTATACCGATTCTTTCATCAGCTGCTATCTCGATCCTCGTTACCGGTGCCTCATAGAGATAACCCCTGAAGAAAGACTCCGCCATGAAGGCGACTTTTCAGCTGGAAACTGCCTTTGACCTTTTAACGAGCGTTTCCCACGACTGGATTTCCCTGTCTAATCGTTGAACGAAGCAATTAGCTGATCGGTTGATCGACGCGGTTCCCCCAGAGCTCGGAGTCGCGCTAACTCGTTGTCCTATCGTGTTCGCAGCCGTGAATCCTCCTCGCTACTAACACGAGTCGTAAGTCCTTGTCCAATCTCTGCATAAACCTTCTGTATCCTGCGAAAGAACATACGATAAATTCCCTGGACGAGGAGCAGAGTCTGCGATGGTCTTGTGATCCACGTTTCTGCTAACTATGCGATTGTCCTCGCCTACGAATAACGTTACTCAAATAGAACGAGCGACCGATGAGGCAGGATGATGTAAACTAGGCAAGAACTCGCCACTCATCCTCCCTGGTGCATCGTTCCCCTCCTTTCTTTCATCTCTGCACTCCTCTCGGCACGCTCTGTAAATATTCTCGAAACGATTCTTCTTTGTCCCCTTCTTACGCCATTGTGACGAGACGCCAGAAACGAGGCTGTCTTCGTTCGTATCGCGTTTTATCTCCGCTCGTAAACTTCGATTTCCAATTAACGACGTGCCGCTCACGCTCCAAGGACGAGCCGGTGTGAATTTCTTCTTCGGACCATTGGCCAACCGAGTTCACGCATAGATTCGAGAGCATAGCTTCGTAGTATCGTGGATCACGGAACCGGCGAGGAAACTTTTGTTCAGGATCACACGCGTTTCAGCTTTTTACCACATGGAACTCGAGCTGGTTAGGTAGGAATTTTAATGGTTACTGAGGGGGGAGGAGGTAGTGAGGATGGAAAGAAAAATCGTGGGTTGTGTTTTCTTGCAGAAGCTTTAACCCTTTCGCCAAGCTGGTTGTGCATGTGCATGTGCATGTCGTGGAGTACGACTATGTAGGCTGCTAGTATTACGTGTATAAAAATCGCGGGAATATATGGATATGGACAGGATAGGTGGTTCAAGCTGACAGGAAATTATTCTGCGCGTAAAAATAGGTCGAAAATACCTTTTTTCCGTTTGAAGTCACCTTTAGGAGAAAATTGAAGCTTAAAATCTGCGGTGTTGGATAATTTTGGACTCCATAAGAGCGGTAAAATTTGGTACGACGTTATTCTACGTGAAAAAGTGAGTCGAAAATGTGGAATACAATTTTTCTATTTGAAGCCTTGTTTGTGAGATAATTCAGCTTGAAAATGTGATGACGTTGGTTGTCTTCTGATTACATAAGGCTGAGATTATTCTGGAGATAAAAATAAATCGAAGATGTGGAATACGAATTGTTCATTTGAAGCCTCGTTTGAGAGAAAAATCAAGTTTAAAATTGCAATCGTAAACGCTTGATTGACGACCATATTGAAGTTAATTGAGCACTCGCGCACCCAACGAATCTTCAAGCCCGATTTCCTAGAAAACGAAGCTTCGTACGAGAAAAATTTATTCCACATTTTCGACTCATTTTTGCACGCAGAATAACCCTCTACCGATTTTATAATCCATCTCGAAACATCATTCAAAAAAAGTAAATATAATTTACAAATAACTAGCAATTAAAATCGTAATTTTAAATAGGACTAAGATAATTCTAATTACCATTAAAATTAACGTCCAGAACGGAATTGTTAATTAACCACAAATAACAAGATAGTAGTGAGATTAGATCCCTGAAGAAATTTTTCACTCCTCAGCCAATTCAGATAGCGTAATTATTAATTTATTAATGTATCAATTAAGTGTAAACGAGGTATCAAACGTGTCAAATTTTTAGTAAGACAGACGTCGTTGAATTCGTGATATTTTCAGAAATTTTGCAATTTTTGGAAAGAAAAAATATTTTCTTTTTTTCATATTAGAAGTCTCATTTAGGAAGATGGAATATGGGTCAGGAAATTACAAAGTTGGGAGGGAATAATTTTTCCTGCTAGGTAACAGAGGCATTTGATATTGGAGAAACGTTGCGTCACATTTTCGAGTTTGCTAACATTTTCTTTCGCGAACGTCGATGAAATTTTTACGGCCCGATTCGTCGAAACTTCGGCTCCTAGAAACCTCGTATCTGATCGAACAGCGATAGTATCGTGCACGCGAAACACGGAATTGCAATCCTTTTGGCCGTGAGTTTTATTGCGTTGGGGAAAAGATCGATGACTTGGGCGTGAAAGTGATATCAAAAGGGAGGTAATGAAAGTTTCTCGAAGACAGGAAGAGTGTAATGACAGTACGCAAAAAGAGAATTATTCGAGTGAGAAAC